AAATTAAAAAAATATATATTTTTTTTTTGATTTATTATTTTTTTTATTTTACTAATAATTATTACTAAAGTAAAGAAAAGATGGAGGGAGGGAGATGGTTTATATAATTTTGACTTGGGAATGAAATTATTTTAACAAAAAATAAATATTTTTATTATGGAATTAATTTTTGGCGGGAAAAAAAGGGAGGGTATAAATAGATAGAATTGGAAGTTAGTTATGCTATGCTATTATGGAAAAAACAAAAAATAAGTAAAAAAAAATGGAAGTTATTAATATTAAAATAAATAAAACTGAAATTTTTTTCGGCAAGTTTGGAAATTTGTTTTTATAAGGGCTATGTGTGGAATAATTGTAAGCAGAAGCTAATCTGATCATATAAAACTTAGATTGTTTCAATCAAATACGGGAGACCGGACCGGGGTTATTTTTATCCATAAAAAATAAGTGTTATAAAAATAGACTAAGCAAATTTATCAATATAGAATTTTAAAAAATATCATGGTTTATCAAGTGATTAAATCTATATTTTATTTACTTTTAATTTAATGACCCGTAAAAATTCCCTCAAAACTATCAAAAGTTTTAACAATTCCATTAAAATTATTTTATTTATTCTATGACAAATATAAAATTATTCACAAATATTAATAAAATGAATATCGAAAAAGATAACTTTGTTTAACAAATTTATATTAAGTTTTATGATTATAATATCGTCTAAAGTATATTTGTCAAATTTATTTCGTAATGTGGTTAAATGTAAAAATATTTTGATGGGAAGGTAATTTTAGGCTATACATTAATTTGTAATATCTATCGAATTAGAGTTAAACAACAAATAAAAGCATTTCAGCTTAAAATTAAAGTCGGGCCTACTAGAGTCAACTCCTGAGGTGACTAATGTCAACTCCTGAGCCAGCATATCAAATCTGTTTGAGCCTTAACCAATTTTTACAACTTTAGGGCAAGAATTAAATCAACATAAATTATCCTCATTTTTCGATGATATATGAATTATAAATATCTAAAAATTTTTCCCGGTCTTAGAAGGTAATTATTTCGAATTCCATATCAATTATTTAATTAATATGAAATTTAATTACTCTCCTCTAATTTTTAATATAAGTATACAATTTTTTAAAAAAGACTGTTATTGAAATATTCGTCCTCTATGCATAAAATTGATCAAAACATTAACAATTATTATAAGTTGATTTGGGTTGGTGCTCAGGTCAGTGCTCGGGTCTATGGATTTGGTCGACCAATTTGTTTGCTTTTGGTTCATTTTTTCGACCAAAAACCCAACCAAAAATAATGCTAATTCGACCCAACCTAGCAATTTAACTACACGAATATTTACAATATATATTTTTACCCATTTGCGTCAAAAAAATCAAATATCTTTAAAAATAACGATTATGACAACAATTGTCACTTTTATATGGTACATCTTCACTGAAATTTTAATTTAACTTGTTTACAATATATATTTTTACCTATTTACTTTAAAAAAGTTCAAAAATAACGATTATGACAATTGTCACTTTTCTTACATCTTCACTGAAATTTTAATTTAACTTGTTTACAATATATATTTTTAGCTATTTATTTGTAAAAAATTCAAAACAGTTCAAAAATAAAGTTTTGGACAATTATCACTTTTCCATAGTACACTTTCACTGAAATATTAATTTACATGTTTACAAAATATATTTTTACCTATTTACTTTAAAAAAACTCAAAAAAGTTCAAAAATAACGATTATGATTTGTCACTTTTCCATAGTACACTTTCACTGAAATATTAATTTAACATGTTTACAAAACATATTTTTACCTACTTTAAAAAAACTTAAAAAAGTTTAAAAATAACGATTATGACAATTGTCACCTTTCTATGGTACATCTTCACTGAAATTTTATTTTAACATCATTATAATATATATTTTTACCTATTTACTTTAAAAAAAGTTCAAAAATAACGATTATGACAATTGTCACTTTTCCATAGTACACTTTCACTGAAATATTAATTTAACATGTTTACAAAACAAATTTTTACCTATTTACTTTAAAAAAACACAAAAAAGTTTAAAAATAACGATTATGACAATTGTCACCTTTCTATGGTACATCTTCACTGAAATTTTAGTTTAACATCTTTATAATATATATTTTTACCTATTTACTTTAAAAAAACTCAAAAAAGTTCAAAAATAACGATTATGACAATTGTCACTTTTCCATAGTACACTTTCACTGAAATATTAATTTAACATGTTTACAAAACATATTTTTACCTATTTACTTTAAAAAAACTCAAAAAAGTTCAAAAATAACGATTATGACAATTTTCACTTTTCTATAATAAACTTTCACTGAAATATTAATTTAACATGTTTACAAAACATATTTTTACCCATTTACTTTAAAAAAACTTAAAAAAGTTTAAAAATAACGATTATGACAATTGTCACCTTTCTATGGTACATCTTCACTGAAATTTTATTTTAACATCTTTATAATATATATTTTTACCTATTTACTTTAAAAAAACTCAAAAAAGTTCAAAAATAACGATTATGACAATTGTCACTTTTCCATAGTACACTTTCACTGAAATATTAATTTAACATGTTTACAAAACATATTTTTACCTATTTACTTTAAAAAAACTCAAAAAAGTTCAAAAATAACGATTATGACAATTTTCACTTTTCTATAATAAACTTTCACTGAAATATTAATTTAACATGTTTACAAAACATATTTTTACCCATTTACTTTAAAAAAACTTAAAAAAGTTTAAAAATAACGATTATGACAATTGTCACCTTTCTATGGTACATCTTCACTGAAATTTTATTTTAACATCTTTATAATATATATTTTTACCTATTTACTTTAAAAAAACTCAAAAAAGTTCAAAAATAACGATTATGACAATTGTCACTTTTCTATGGTACATCTTCACTGAAATTTTAATTTATCTTATTTACAATATATATTTTTACCTATTTACTTTAAAAAAATTCAAAAAAGTTCAAAAATAACGATTATGACAACAATTGTCACTTTTATAAGTTACATCTTCATTGAATTTATAATTTAACCTCTTTACAATATAAATATGTCAAAAAGTTTCAAAAATGTATAAAAAACGAATATGACAATTGTCACATTAAAATATTTTCCTTAAAAATACATATAAAATAACATAAAAAAGTTTAATATAAATATTTTTAAAAATTATTTAACCACCTCTTTAAATATACAAAAAAATAGATAGTTTTACAAAGATGATTAAAAAAAACATAAAAGATTTCACCTCAAAGATTGTTTATTTATAAGAAAATTCTCCAAAATATTGCTCAAATGAAAATTTAAAATTCTTATTATTTTTGAACTTCATAAAAATTTTTTGCTTAAAAATTTGGGCGCGTGAAAATCACTAATAAATTGTAACAAAAAAAAATAATATTACAATACAACAATAGCAGCATATTGTTTATTAAAAATACATCAAATCAATAAACTATTTTCATAATATATAAATTAGTTTAAAAAAAATAAATATATATTATATTGTTTTTTAACATTAAATAAATAAATTTTGGCTTAAAATAAGACTCGAGCCAACTCTTGAGCCGGCTTGAGCCAACTCCTGAGCCGGCTTGAGCCAACTCCTAAGCCGGCTTGAGCCAACTCCTGAGCCGGCTTGAGCCAACTCCTGAGCCGGCTTGAGCCAACTCCTGAGCCGGCTTGAGCCAACTCCTGAGCCGGCTTGAGCCAACTTCTGAGCCGGCTTGAGCCAACTTCTGAGCCGGCTTGAGCCAACTTCTGAGCCGGCTTGAGCCTAAGCCAATTTTTCGGCTCCGGCCTCGAGGTCGGAGCCGTAAAAACTCGGCTTTTTAACAACACTACAAAAAACCACATGTCATAGAAGAAAAAATGAATTCAATTAATAATTTACATATGTTTATCATCAGATTATTGATTACATATTTTTTATTTTCAGATTATAAATTTTCTGTTTGAAATCAAATTTGCAATAAAAAAAATTGTAAATATATTTGAGTATGTTATATTTTATTCAGAAAATTCATTTCAATTATTCGAATTGAATACAAATAGTATATTTTATTATTGGAACAAATAGTAAATTATTTGATTCAATTTAGTTTTTAATAGGCTTATTTACATTTAAGGTAAGTACAATAAATTTTCAGATAATTTGACTTAAGTTACATTAAGATATTTATTGTATCAATTGAATTTAAATGTTTAATTGGATCCCAAATCTAGTCAACATTTACATGCAAGGAAAATTCCATTTGTCAAATACATTTTTAAAGTTTTTAGATGAAATAAAATCATTTGTCAAATTTTTTTTAAAAGGTAAGATCAAGATAAATAGCAAGTAAGGATATTTAACTTTTATTTTAAAATAGTTTAATCACTCATGGAACTATAGTTATAAATAATTAGCCTATATTAAGAAGAATTAAACATTGGGTAGATGAATGATATATTGTTGAGAGAATTGTAGACCTATATTTGGTAAGATTCAATTTGGTCTATCCAGGTAAACCTGGAAAAGGTCTACTGAACAACAAAAAATATTATATATAATTTTAATTATTCGATCTAATAATTTTAAAAAATGGGCAGGTAATAAAAAATTTATGCCAATGACTGGTAGACCTTTATAAGAGACCCAGAAGAACAGAATCACGTATTCTTCATGACAAGTATAGCATGGAACAGACATAATATTCAAAAAGAATGTTTAGCCATTTATATATGATTTTTGATTTATTTTCCTTCTACAATGACATATATAGAAAAATATACAATATATTAACTGCTAAAATATATGATTATTTAAACATAAAACATTTAATATTTACAAATGACCCATCTTGAAACCAATCTCAGTATTTTCCTCCTATAATAAAAAAAGTCATAAAAACAGGTTATAAAAATATTTCAAATTGGATGATAAAAAATGTTAAGATTAAGGAAATTTTAATTTTTATTTAAACTAGATTTTTTAAAAAAAATATTAAAAAAATTCACAAGTGTAATTTCTGGAAATTTTTCGGTTTTCAGTTTTCTTATTTTGACACTTTGACTAAATAAGATGTTTTTATTTCATATGCCCTGTTTAAGACCTTCATCTATATTCCTATATTCTCATTGTATTTCTACAATTATTTCAACATTCTTTAAACCTTTTCTTTTCAGAAGTAACTTTTATTTTCTTTTTTCTTAATATTCTTCAAAATTTTCTTTCTTCAGCATTCACCATAATTATTTATTTTTTAAAAATAAAATTTTATAATAAATGTTGGAAAAATTATGTTGTAGTTATGTTTAAATTGTTATCATTAAATACTTGGTGGGGGAGTAAAGGAGGCAGATCTGCTGTCCCTACTAACGCTTCTTCGATTCTTATTGTAATATGGAGAAGGTGTCCTCTTTCTTGTGTACCCAGGTCCATTGTTGCTGCTATTTTTTTTGATTACATACAATATACTAATGAATTTTATTTTACTATGTTGGTTTTCCCATATATATTCCAGGTGTTGGAGTGTGAGCCCTTTGAGTAATTGAAAAGTCAACTCTTATTCTTCTACCATCTATTTCAAGTCCTGCTGATTTCTCCTTGCTCTATTTTTTAACAACATTAATCATATAATTTATAAGTAAAGAATATAATTTACATAAGCAGCATCTTCTATTGTTTGAAAATAAACAAATCCAAATCCTCTTGAACGTCGTGACTGCAAAAAAAAATTGGATACTATTAATATTATATTTTTTACCGCATGATCATAAACTATCACAACATCTTCAACATTACCATATTTTGAGAATATTTCTCTTAAATCCCTCTCACGTGTATATAAACTTAAACCAAAAACTCCCAAACATTTACATGGTACAATTTCCTCCTTTAAAAATCGATGATATAGGAATAAAATATTATTTAAATCTTACGGGTTGTGTTTGTCTTTTTGAATCATATGGAGAACGAGATCGAGATTTTGTATATGATCTTTTGCGGGATTTAACAAATGATGGGCTTCTATATTTAATATTTATATGCCGTGTAAAATATTTTACCTTGTACGACTTCGTGAATTTGATCTTGATCGAGATTTTGAATAAGATCTAGAGTATGAAGATGGACTTCTAGACCCAGAGAATGATCTACTACGGCTAGGAGATCTTCTGCGCCCTTTCTTTTTATAGCCATTAGCCGGAGAGGGAGAATGCTAATGTAATAAATAATTTAATCATCAAAATTAATATCTTACATATTTTGGAGACATTTTCTAAATTTTGAAAAGATGATAATTGGTAAATATAAAATGTTTATTTGTGAATTAAATCTATTTTAAAAAATATGTTTATATAAATAATATCTATTTTATTTTATTTAAATTTACATTAAAAAATATAAATATTAATTATTATTCTTAAATTATCACAAAAACAATTTAATAAACATTACTTATCATCCAGAAAATCTCTTTAATAATTTAAAATTAATATATTAATAAACTTGTGTGGAACTTTTCTAATATTTATTTATTTATGAAATTTAAAAATAATATTAAGCAAACTTCAAAGTATTTATTTATTTAAAAGACTAGCTTGCCTCAAACTTTATTCATTTAAGCTTAATTGGACTTTTCCGAAAGTAAATTTGAAATACGAAATAAGACGCATTTTTATAATAATAAATGTATATTTTATCCCAATCTTAGATAAAATAATGTACATCTCCGCCTTGTCATATGTGATAATAATTCTTAAGATTAAAACAATTACATTTGATTAATATAAATGCAATATGCATCCCTTGCCAAACCACAGGGTTAGGTTAAAAGTTACAAATAGCATATTTTTTTAAATATAATGAGTAGCCATTGTAATAGCTCTATTTGATGTAACATATGTTTTTCAGGAGTGTCACTAACCTTTACAGACTCAGTGGGCTCAATATTTTCAAAATAACCCTCTTTTAGGTAAAAAAAAAATCCGCCTTGCCATATGTGATGATAATTCTTAAGATTAAAACAATCACATTTGATTAATATAAATGCAATATGCATCCCTTGTCAAACCACAGGGTTAGGTTAAAAGTTACAAATAGCTTTTTTTTAATATAATGAGTAGCCATCGTAATAGCTCTATTTGATGTAACATGTTTTTCAGGAGTGTCACTAACCTTTACAGGCTCAGTGGGCTCAATATTTTCAAAATAACTTTCTTTTAGGTATAAAAAATTTTTCAAGAGACTTGTCAAATTTTCTAAGTGGCTCGAGGTCTTGTGCCCCCATCTTCAAGTGACTTTGCTAATGTTTTTCTTTCCTTTAGAATATTTTTAACCATTTTATAAACAAAAATAATTTTTTAAAAATAAAATAACTCTTTTTAAATAAAAATACTGGTGGATAATTTACATGTATTAAACGTCTAAAGTAAAATTCCTGATTAAATTGAGAAAAAGAAAGAATAACTTAGAAAAGGGAAACTAGATTTTCGTATTTTAAAATCCCTGCTTTATAGGATTTAGTTATTTCGTTTTCCATTTTCTTAATTATTGCAAGTAGAGCCTCCCCCCACCCTCTCTCGCACCCATTTTAAATGATAGCACTAGTGTTGCTACATGGACCATATGGGTTGATTTTTAAAAATGGCCCGATTAAGATTTTAACCAAAATAATGCATTATAAGCCTTGAGATTTGATAAATAGAGATTCTAATTTTTCTGCCCTTTAAACAAAATCTCCAGGCTTATATAACATTATATTGACTAAAATATTAATCTGGTGATATTTAAAAATCGATACAAATCGGGCTGTTTATAAAACACTAATAAGTACTGTTGTTTTTAAATATTAAATCTCTTTGGGACATGCTTTTCACTTTGAAAAATCTCTTATGAAACCTCCCACCAAAGCCTCCCCAAATTTTTTGTCATATAATCTCATTTTTAATTTATACCTATGATACTATAAAAGAAATAAAAGACTGTTATTATATGTTTTCTTTTCTTTCCACTCAAAAGAGTATTATTCTTTATTTTGTTCATAATCGTAATTTATAGACAAAGCTTGTTTTTATATTTTATTCACTTGAAACTGGTCCTGGCCAGTTTCAAGGATATACATGAAAAAAATATTATAAAAATACATCGATGGATTTTATTGTTTTGTTTGGTAAATTTTTAGTATATATAAGATCCCCAAAAAAATTATACGGGACATGAAATAATTTATGAAATTATCTTTGTATTTTATCTTATTATTTTTATCAAATTAAATATATCATGATTGTTTTTTTTTTGGAATACGATTACAATTTTAGTTTCAATAAATTCTCGATTTTTCTGCATAAAAACCTGTTTTGTACGATGACAAAAATGCTGCTAAGCCCGGTCCCCCAATCCCATGCTCCGATAATTCCGGACCTTCGAACTCCGTTATTTCCTAACCCTCCCCGATGGTTGGACAACAGACGATCCTGGCTCCAACTATAACAAGTACCCTTTTAAATAATATATTATTTATATATTAAATAAATACTTACAAAATTTTGAAGCTTATATGAAATAAATATTATTTTATTTGTGGCACTAAATGCTTTTATTGTTATAATTTCATTCTTTTTGCCTTAAAAAACAAATTAGAGAAAACTTTGATAAAGGGTATATAATATTTTATTTATTATTTTATAAATTAATATATTATTAGAGAATCCTACACAAAATAAAACAAAACCCTAATAAAATTAACACCTAAAAATTCAAGGTCAGTTGATTATTTTATTTTTTATATAAAATCACAAATAGTACGCTAACTTTTTTTGGCACTAACACTCTAGTCTTATCAAGGGGTATCGCTTTATATTATATCTAAGACTAAAATCTAGAGGAAGAATTGTACCTCAGATAAAAAAAGACAATTCATGTAATCCAAGCTAAATATAACTTTATATTCTAATGATGGATAAAATTTTTATTCTTTACAAATATGAAAATCTCTGCTCCAAACTTGCAGTAGTTGAAACCAAAGTTTTAATTAAAATTTTTTATTTCCTTTCAAGTTTTGTAAAGATTTTGTATGTACTAAAATTTATTTATTCATAGTTTATAGGCAAATTTTATGAGCTATAATATAATTTTTCAACAGAATTCAAATTAAATCAATTATTTTTTTAAAAAGGAATATATTTTTTTTTAAACATAAGATAAAAAATTATATTAAAAAAAATTTATCCTTTATTTATCAAGAAATAAGTATTTAAAGATGTGCTTCTTTCACTTATTTTTAATTATAACTGTAAAATTACTACTGCCGTAAATTTTATTTCAGAAAAGAAACGCGCTATTCGTTACATCTGAAAAATAGAACGCGTTACCTCTATCTTGTCAAAAAAGAAATGCGCGTTACCGGCTATTCAGAATGCATCGGGTTACTCGTTATTATATAAAAAATAAATATTATATACAAAAAATTTTTTCCCTTATATGTATAATATAAATAAAATTATTAAAAAAATATATAATAGGATATCATTTTATAATAATTTTTTTTATAATTTATTATAAGATAAGATATTTTTATAATAATTTTTCTTTTATTTTTAATAACAATCAATTTTTAAAATTTTGACAGTATCATCACAATGGGGAGAGGGGCTTAGGGGCTCGAACCCCCTAAAAAATTTGAATAGCCCCCTGAAGCAAAAAATGTTTTAATGGCTCCCTAATATCCCCCTGAACTAAAAATAAATTTTTTTGATAGCCCCCTGAACAATTTATTTTATAATTAAGAATTATATATAATTTTGATTTTATTATTTAAAAATTAATAAGTTTATCTAAATTTTTTTTAAATAAATGCTATTTTAATTAATAGATTAGATTAATACATATATATTATATTTTCATTATGTAAGGTTGCACAATCTAATTATTTTTTTTGGGAGGTGCGCAAGAGCTCGAGCTCCCTAAATCTGAATACCCTGAAGCAATTTTTATTTTAATGGTTCCTTAATATCCCCCTTGAACTAAAAATAAATTTTTTGATTGCCCTCTGAACGATTTCTTTTATAATTCTATTAAGTAATATATCGATTTAATTTTATTATTTAAAAATTAATAAGACTATCTAAATTTTTATTAAATGAATACTATTTTAATTATTAGATTAGATTAATACATATAAATAATATTTTCACTATGTCAGCTTGCAATCAAATTCTGTGTTAAAAATAGAATATCAATATCACTCCTTAAATATCAATTTAGCATTAACTTGAAGCTTAATTGACCTTTATTATTTAAATTATTATATAACCCAATTAAATATATATAATCATTTGTTAAATGAAAATTAACAATTTAATATTGTAATTAACCGAGTTCAAAATCACTAATCAACTATATTATTCATTTTTAAATTTAATTACCATGCCTCTTTCTAAAAATATTTTCAAGATCAAAATAAGTATAAGAGATTTCTTTATAAAAAGTTGATCGATTTATAGTTGGTTATAAAATATTAGATAAAATGCCACTTTTATAGACGTATATGATAGTTATATAATATTTAATAAATTTTACTTATAAATGCTTTTGATAATAAATATAAGAAGCAATATGCATTCAATTTTTTCAAGCCATCATTTATTTAAAATATCATTAAAATTAAACATCTTATTATTCACCCCGCAATGGATGTAATAAATTAGATATCTTTTCTTCTCTTTTATTAAGTGTTTTTAGGAAAGCTATTTTTTCCTTCTTTGAAAAACAGTTTTGAGTTAAATTTTTAATACGAGTATATTTTTGATATTATTACAAACTACTATTATTTTAAGATATAATAAAACTAAAAGAGCGACAAAAATATATAAAATCTTAATTGCTTTCATCATATCACTGGTTCTTATTTTATAGTTACAAAATGTCTCATTTTTTATATGACATCCTTGCCGTGTAAATAACTCATGGCTTCAATATATTTGCATAATTTTTCTAAAGATTTTTAATGTTTTTGTTTTATTAATTTATCAAACATAATAAATTCTGATATGAGTTAACATCGTGAGTGTCATGGCTATGACTAAAAATTTACCAGCATCTATTATTTATGTGGTTATGTAATTTAATATTATTAATATAGCTGTTGAGAGCATATGATAGCATATTTAGATAAGCAATAATGGTCAACTGTGTAGTCATTTATATACCATTAAAAATAGAAGATAATCTTTTAGAAATTTAATAACACACAATACTTTCGACTACTTACATAGCTTCCATAATGATATCTAAGAGGAAGCTCTAACCATCATATAGTTTTAAGATTTGGATTAGTCGTTTATATTCTTTTCTTCAAGAATTATTGATTTGGTT